AATACTCAAAAAAATGAATATTTCGGCGTGAACGAGAACAATGACGAATGCCGCGTACCGTTTTCCTCAAATCATAAGAAATTAAACAAATTATTTCAAATTTTAGACATTTCTTGAAAATTAAATTTCTAAAATTTAACCACACTACATCCGTGGTGATTCGGCAATTTAAATTTTATACTATGCAGTTTTTCTACGTTTTTTTATACGCGCGTTGTTGGTACGTTTTGTCGTAGTGCCTAATGAGAACATTTGTTGAAAATGTTATTTTGTCTGCTGCGTAGACTGACCAAAGACTAACAATTTCGAATTAATTGTATTATTATTGTTATTATAGTTCATTACTACGAGGAAACTTTTGGGAGCCTTATTGCGTAATTAGAATCACGGCGGTGCCGTCGTCGTCGTCAAGACGATTATAACTGCAGCTTTTCTCGGTTACCTGTTGTTGTCGTAACGGTCAGCGGTGCGATTCAAAGGCGTTTTCTTTTTCAATGTTCTGGAAAAAAAAAAAAAAAAAAAAAATCGCTTCCTAAAACCTTACAGTACCGCGCATAATCATAAAGTTATCGTCGCGCACAATATATTACAGTGGGATGTACAGCCAGTATGTTATATCGTAGTATTTTTATTCAGCGGCGATGATTAAAATGACGACCTTTGTGGAATTTTATTGCCACCAGACAATATATACTACACAGCGGTAGTAATAATAATAATACGTGCATGAGCGACGGCGACGACGTCCCGGCGATAATAAAGAATAATAGTTTGTACACACACATTATTTATATAATGGTCGCGAGAACTTATTTTTTGTCGCCCGACCGAAAATAATTTCGCATCGTTCGTGTACAAACAGTGGCGTGCGGTTTTTCCGCCCTCCGGGAGACCGTGGCGACAACCGTCGTTCGCGAAGGCGAATTATCGTTGCGTCTTGGAAAAATCCAACGGGGTTGTTCGGCGGTGGCTGCGGCATTTGCGTCGACGGCGTTTTATATTATACGCACGAAGAAACACAAAAAAATATATATTTTATTAAATTCCGAGTGTTAAAAAAGTTTTCCCTATAATATATATATATATATATGTATATAAGACGCGTGATGCTTTTATTCTTCGCGAAAAACTGTTTTTTTCCGTTAGTACGAAAAACACTCCACGAATTTCACACCCGTAAAACATACCGTAAATATATGTGCAGGTTTTCCGCCCGTTAATGTCGCGGTGTGTGAAAAATGTTCACCATAGGTTTGCCGCAGTTTTTCCAAAACCAATTTAAATAACGACGACACACAGGTTTCGGATAAAATCTATAGAGGTTTTTTTCCGCACTGGATATTCTGTAATCAGTAGGATTATGACTCGCGAGCGTTGTAAACGGCGAGGTCAATATTTTGATAATCACACGGGAAGAGGTTTTTTTTTTTTTATGTACACGGAAAGATGAATGTACCTATACAACCACTAATAGAAATCGAAAGACTGATAGTATTATTTATTATTTGTTGATTTAGGCTTCAGTAATATGTTAGTATTGTTGATTGATTTATTGTTAACATGTAATTATTTCGAAAATTTAAAAATGTTTAGTAATTATACATATATTATTATTCTAAAACTGATCCAATACTTAAATACTTCAATTAAAAATAATTTTAAGATTTCAAGAAAAAAAAGATATAAGAATATTGTTAAGTGTGGCAGCGTACATCTGCAGTCGAGTGGCCGCCGTCTATATAACCAGTTGAACGAGCTCAATTCAATTGTTTTTTATTCGCCCTTCTTGGTGTATACCTGCAATCTAAATCGTATGCGATCTGATTCTGATCAATCTCGGTAGTTAATGCTCGGGATTTCCGTTGTTTTCCACGGTTTTAAAGAGAATCAAATGAATACGCAGCTGTACGAAGTTTTAAATGCTATAAAATCTCACTTTTGCGGGCAATGAGAACTCACAGAACTTAACAGAAACTATATTTGTGGTTGCTTTACTATATTCCGCACGTTTTATATTTTCGGGGGTATTACGCGACTCGCGGTCGCGGTAAACGCGAGGCCACGTGGTGATTACATATCCGTATCGGTTTCGTCGTCTTTCTTTTTCCTCCGTCGTCTATTACATCGATACACCGAAACTATCGTTTTACTTTTTAAACATGCAATAATTGAGCAATCATTAATACTTACGGTTTACAATTTACGAACACCCCTACGATACATAGACAATTGTCTAGTGCACCGCGGGTTTTTCAGACGGAAGGATGTGCATCCGGATTGCCTCCACGAATAAGTTCCTCCGACCATCAGGTTAAATATTATTGCCGAACGATGAGTTAAAAGAAGAAGAAAAAAAAACATAACCTTGTTGAAAATATCGAATTTTCGCGTAGCACGCGGTACTTCATGGCGGCGGTACCGAACGAACGTAAAATGATTTTCAGAGAAAAATACGCAAAGTATAATATTATAATATAATGATATTACGTTAAAATACGAACCAATCTCTGCGAGCACAGAATCGTATTATTATTATAACTACTATTATTATTTTTGAAATGTCGCGAAATTCTTTTCTTCTTCAACCCACGTCGCCTTTTCAGCCCTTGCGATTATAAAAAAAAGAACACGGGCGGCGGGAAGGATAAAAATAAATCGTATTTTCAGTACTTATATTATGTAGATACCAGCTGAATACCGGAGTTTTAATCGAGAGAATTATTAATATTATTCGTACCGTTTTCAAACGGAACGAAATCGGCTTAGAACCGCCGACTAGGTACCTATATTATTATTATTATTATATAATATGAAAATAATTCGCGGACCACGCGAGAATACGATTTGCATCGGTAGCCTCGGATCGTTACGATTTTATAATTGAATAATTTCCGAAAAAAAATTTTAAAAAAAAAACAACTAACAAATTTCAAATGCATAAAAGCGCGACATATAAACGTAGCTGAACCTTTTTCCGTCCGTACAGGTTTCGCATGCGGTCGTCACAACTTTTCACGATATTTCACTAATATTGTGTCTTACATCAGGCTACACTCATGACATTGCACGTGGTCAGTGCAGACGGCCACGCACTCTTCGGGCGTGCCCATTACGATAATGTGAAATGGAATATAATTATCTATTGTCGCGATATTGTAATATACCGTAAATTCGATAACAGTTATCGAATTAAAGTAGGTACCGATCATCCTATAAACGAAATACATTTCAAACGATATAATCTACATCGTCACACCGTCAAAATCGACGAGTGCATCAGTTTTTCCTCGCTCGTGTAGATAATCGATTAGGTACTCCGTACCATCTTATGGAATTTACGTGATCTACTGTTCCGATGGCGGGCAGGTGATTGCCCCACCGGCGTACACGAATGCAGTCAAATGATAGAAAACGCCGAAAGGCTGTAACTTTTTTTCGTCAAGTTTTATCGAAATTACACTATCTTTTTAATGTCGCGCGTTTCTAATTATAATACTTCGATTTAATGCTGTAACGAAACATGAGACTTTTGTTTACTCGGGTAATCGAGTGTCTCTGGAAAACGGACAAAATCGATATATTTCGGTTATGTATTAAAATTAAGAATATCGAAATGCGCTCGATCAATAAATCTTCGTAAATAAAATTTCGGTCAAATAGCCGTACAAATAAAAATTTACAATTCAATAAGAAATATAAGTTTTGAATTAAAATTTTAACCCCTTAATAAAAAGCGTGCTCATCTGAACGATTGATCCTTTACGAATACTCGAATGCATTAAATAAATATAAAAAAAGTAGTGTAAACTACGCAAGAGGTGAATTTTAAATTCGCTAAAAAATGTGCGTATAAGATTTACAAAAATTATGCAATTCTTAAAATTCGACTAATGGTCTCGGCAATCTAACTAAACTTTCGCGAGAACCCGTCTGGAATATCGTTTAACCTAACCTAACCTTTTTTTTTTTTTACATGTTTAAAACGACAATTGGAGGTGGTACTGATTTCCATAATTTCACCCTCCAATCGCCTTCGTTTATTTATTTTTCACAAATCACCGTTGAGGTAGCTTCGGGACAGTCCCTCGGGGCTGTACTCTTACATTTCAATATTACAAATATTTGAGGGACACTAACCTAACCTAAACAACCGTTGAAAGGTGCGTTGTCAATTGAGGGGAAAGAATCTGGTTACAACCACCCTTCCAAAATACTTCTAACACAAAAAAGGTTAAATACGTACTGTTATACTTTTCAAGATTAAAAAGACTTCAAATTCGTGATTGTAACGTTATTTTTTTAACGTCTTTAATCGTTTAAACAAACAAATGGTTTTACTGTTTAAACAGGTTTTTTTTTTAAATGTACATAAATATGCATGACTTACATAAGTAACGGTTATTTTTCTTAATATTATTGTAAATTTGTAAGTGCATTGATTTTACATATTATACGTGTAGTGTATAGAGAATACTCATCTCGATAAGAAGTAATAATTTTAAATAATGTATGTATGTAATATTATATATTATTATAGTCGTATTTAAATGAAAAAAATAATTTTAAAATTATAGTAGATAGTTATTTATTTAATTAATGCAAACCGATATGCGTAAATTTTAACTTTTAAATGGAATTTTTCCGGTGGTTTTTTTTTACGATGTTTAAATTTACTATTGCTTTAGATTTTTTGTCTATCGAATTATGAGGAAACAAAAAAGACCGAGAAAATTCTGACTACACGCACCGCCACTAAATTTTATTGGATTTCTGCAGTCCTACACGATATTCGATCGAACCGCGCAACGTGTCCAATCGATCCGAGGCATTATAACGATATGGTATATGACAGTACTATCGAAGGTGAAAAGTAACAATTTAACGGTATTGAAAATCAAAAAAAAAAAAAACAAATAAACAAATAAAAATTGACCATCTATATGCTTGATTTTCGTTGTTATATTGTTATATATATATATATAATATATATGTTGTTATATGCTTATTATATGACAACGTACCGAAAACAAGAAATAACAAAAAAAAAAAAAAAAAAAAAAAAAAAAACATAATACTATTTAACGGGAATGATAATAATAATGATAATAATAATAATAATAAAACAAATACTAGCTTTTCAGTACGTCAATACTCGGCGGCGGCAGCGGCGTTGCCCGACGGTTTAACCTGACTTCTTCTTTTTGCTGAACCCGTACTTCTTGAAGTGCTTGTGTCCTCCCTTCTTGCCGTATTTTTCCTTGTGGGCATGATGCTTGTCCTTGCCCTTTTTGCCCTTGTGGCCCTTGTGTTCTTTGTCGTAGTGACCCTTCTCCTTGTGTCCCTTCTTGCCATACTTTTCCTTGTGATGTGCCGACTTGTGGTGGCCGCCCTTCTTGTGCTTGCCCTTCTTGCTCGCATGCTTCTTGTGGTGCGAACCGTGTTTCTTGTGTTTGCCGCCCTTATGGAAATCGTCGTAGAATTTGTGCGTCTTGTGGTACTCGTCCTTGTGGAACTTGTTGTGGTATCCTTTGGTTTTGTGCCCCTTCTTGTGGCCTTTTTTCTCGCCAAACTTGACACCCTTGTGACCCTTCTCGCCTTTGTGTTTCTTACCATATTTCTCGGCCATATCGTGCTTCTTTTTCTTGTGACCGCTCTTCTTTTTGTAGTGCCCTTCGTGACCCTCCTTGCCGTGTTTGCCCTTGTCCGCTTTGTCGAAATGATGTTTGGTTTTGTATCCCTTGTCGGCTTTGTGGCCCTTTTTGGAATGGTGTGAGGCTTTTTTCTTCGACCCGCCGCCCTTGGTCGACTTTTTCGACGATTTCTTCTTCTTCTTTTTCTTTTTCTTTTTCTTGGACGCGGCCATAGCCTGGTCTTCTGCCGGCGCTACGGCGGACGACAAAGAGGACGCCGCTGCCACGGCACCTTGAGCGGCAGCGATCGCCGCCTTGGAATCATAACCGCCGGTCAGCGGACTGGTCAGGTTGGCAGCCACTCCGGCGGTGAGATTGGTCAGGGCGGCAGGGTAGTCCGGTTGGCCGGGCAAGTCACGCGATTGGCCGGACCGCGTGAACACGGCGAAGCACAGCGCAAAGTACACCAGCACCATGGCGGGTCCCATGTCGACGCGGTGGTAACGTTTCTGGACGTGCCGCCGCCGCCGCGGGCCGCCGCAAACGGTGTTCGTCGGCGACTCCACTTCGACGACTCCGCGGACCACGATGATTAACTATTGTTTTACTAGCGGCGCCACACCGCGCCACGATAAATAAATAAATAAATAAATAAATACGAATTGTAAGACTACAATACTATTGTTGGGTATGTCATGTATCGGCTGTATTAGTTATTCGTATGATAATTCGTCGTTGTATTATCGCTGCGGTTGCGAACACGACCGACGACCGATCTCAACTGACAGTAGAACCGCGTGCCCCGTTAGTATTTATAACGCTTGCGACACTTCGGATGCTCCGTGCCCGCGAGGCTGGTGTTACGCTTTCACGCTCGTTAAGTCGCGCCGGAGCCAATCAGCCATTTCTGCGGCGCGCGCCACCGCCACCCCGCTCTTCGACCGCGGCACGAGACGACGGCACGAAACCGCATCGACCCGCTACCAAATGCTATCATAACGATAATGTCATCGCGTCCGGTAGCCGTCGTGACTACGCGCGGCGGTTGACCGCCGGCCACGGCGTCCCGCGGACGGACAGACGTGTACGCGGCGGTTTTCCGTGTAATACTTCTGGTGGTCAACACTGTTCCCCTCCGGTTCCCCCGGACAGCCGGACCGACGCGCCCTCCCCTTTCCCCCGCTATAGGTAGGTGATTTTTTTTTTTTTTTTTTTATGTTTGCGACCTTTTTCCCGATTTCGCAACAAAAAAAAAAAAATCTATAACTTATGAGACATGACGTTTATAGATGAAAGATTCTTGACCAAATCTATAGCACGACGAGATTTCAAACATAGGCGAAAGATCGAATTTCAATTTCTTTATTAAGGTTATTTTGTTCACATGGTAAAACCACGATACTATACACGGATCATGATAAAACAAACACCCTTTATTATAATACAACTGATTACAGAGTGAGTAACGAGTACAAAACGAGAACTTTTAACAATCACAACAACACTAAATAGTTGGTTGACCCAACTATCGTCATTTTAATCCCTACAATTAAAATACACCATTGAGTAGCAGATTTCCGTCATTAGAGTGCGATTCCCCATCCCAAATTATTTATAATTATAGAAATATTCTTCGAACAATCGAACACTACACAATACTATTAAAATAATACGTACATTATACCAGTGGTGGCTAAACGGTCGATCGCGATAGACAGGTACATCGCGGACGGTTTAAATATCAATCTCCCATGTTAGAATTTATTTGTATACAATCGGTAGATAAATCAAAATCACCGATCACTTATACCTATGTATCCTCTTAAATCATCATTTAGTTGTCAATTTATCAAGCAATATAATTGATGTAACAGCGGTAATTCAACAGCGTTTATTCTGGCAATTGTATTTACAAAATTATACCAGTAATGAAAAACATTATTTAACTACCTATACATTTTAGTTGTATTATTTGTACCTGCTCGATGTTTATTATTTATACCTATTGGATAATTCATAATTATAAATTTTCACTAGGAAGTCGATTATCAAAGGAAAAACATATTCTTAGTAGAACTCTACCAAAACAAAGTTTGGCCATTCTTGTGTTATACAGTCTCGTATATTATCTATTATAACAATTATTTCCAAAAATATCGTTGGCAGGTGGTTTAACGTTGGCAATCCCGAAAAGACCCTAACGTACAAAAGAAACATATACAAAATGTCTTCCTCCCTAGCGTCATTTGGGAAGTCTGCTTGGGACGTCCAAAGCTAAAAATAAAAACACTACTCTTCCGGAACAATATGCTAAAATTATGATCTGAAATCAAATTCAACTTTCAGCTCTCCAAACCGCCTATAAAATATCTCTTACTCTTCAGTTTGAGGTCATTCGCGGTCCAGAAGAAGCTGCTATAGAATTGTCCAAAACTAGTTGAAATACACATTCTGACACAGTCAGTAGACTGTGATAGTTTCTGTTTTCAGACAAAAATCGACATAAATCTCTGTTGTTTTGTTAAGTCTCAGATGTTTATTGGTCCCAATATTTATTTCTCAAATTACCGACATTCGGATACACGAGCGGATAATTTATTTAAGTAATTCAAATGTTTTTTTTTTTTTTTTTATAATAATATATTATTTTAATACTACTTAATAAAGACATTATGAACAATATTATCACGATCTAACGTTTAGTCGATAGTATTCTTTAAAACAATTAAACATTTGGGTTTTGTTGTATATTTTACTATCCGCAACACAAACAAATAAGTATAAGTATAATTCCACACTAATGCGCTTTATTTAAACATTTGTTTTATACGTTAATCCACGCTTCGGCGAATATTCATTCGTACAAACGATGATAATAATTAATTTCAACTTTGCCGAGGACAATTATTGTTATTTCCGATGTTTACCCACAATTTAGATTCTGTTCAACGGTATTGTAAAAGAAAAAAAACTTCGCGACAACGCTTCCGTTGTTTTTCTCGATTTAAAACGACATTATTTCAGTGTTATCGCCTTTACATAAAGATACATTTTAAAATAACTAGATAATTAGATACGGTATAATACCTAGACATAAATAATCAGCAATTTTTGCTGAGACGAAAAAAGATAATATTTTTCATTATCTATCAAAATAACCGAGTGTTTAAAGTGTACCGAATTTGGCACGTGTCTAGATTTTAAAAAAGAACATTTATCATGTGTATGATTAACTTAAATTTGTTTTAAATATAATGATTATGATTTAAAAAGATACATCTAGATGATTTCATCATTTATCTCGGATAAAACACAGATAACTAACTTCGGTTTTCTTTATAATCGGGGGAAACCAAGAAGAACGCAGGAAAACCAAAAAAGTTTACGTCATTAACGGATTTATTATTTTTGTTTTAATTTTCATTATGTAATTCGGTTGAAAATAATCGTACAGATCGGAAATTTTCACACTATACTAATATTGGCTTTTACTAATAGTGGTAAAACATTCTGATGATATCTGAATTATTTGTATGTATTTCGAGTTTTTTTTTTTACTCAGATTATTTAATTTTTGTATGTGGATAAAGTCGTTTGACCGAATAGGATTACTTGAAACACGAGGTTCATTATATTAAGTTTTAATTAGTGATAAAAAATATGCGGACAATTTCATACGTAGATGTGTAGATGAGAAGTTAGGAAGGTAGGATACCGAGTGGAATTTAATGTATATCTGTTCGCAACGATTAATCTTAGCTAATTAAAAACGATTCTGAGCAAAGTTCGGTTATATATGCATTGAACGACCGTAATATTTACGATTTTTGTCAAAATTCCATGTTAAAATTTGTGTAAACAAAAAATTCTACATAACACTCAATCTTTTTTTTGCCACAAAGTACAGTTTATAATTAACCTCCTGTTAAATTGTCAATTATTTTTGTTTTGTCTTATAATTTTATTTACAGAATACCTACCAAATAAAAATTATGTACAAAATAAAAATAGTTTATAAATAGATCAAACATTACTTCAATTCTTCGTTAATGTAACCATGTATAGAAAAGGCAATATAAGTATTTTATTCAAATTTAAAGTTTCTATTTTTTATTAAATAATAAAAACAAAAAAAAAAAACAACATTGAAAATGATAAATTCCCTACATTTTCCCATTTTCCTACGTTTTTTTCCAAGTCTTCCCAATTATTATGAAAATTGCTTGAAAAATAAAAAAAAAATGCCATTCAAATAAAATTTCATGTCAGAAAAAGAACTACACTAAAAATGAGAACAAAATATCTGGTAAAAATGTTGTTCAAAGAAAAAAAATATACACCATTGTAAAATCAATATATTCCTCATTTCGCTCAGAATCTAAAACTTGAGCGTAATGCAGTACCTTATTTTTTTTTTTAAGCATTTTAAGTTTAAATTATGATTGGACTATAGCATCCCTAATATGTTTAATCGAACATCGCTCAAAATCTTACTTATTGTTTCTTTATCACGTAGATATAATTTGTGTCGAAGATTACTTTTTAACGACACCGAGTTCATCATCATTAATCATCGAATGGTATCACTATATAAAAATTGGAAATATGAACAACTATCCTTCTTTCCCCGTATGTCCTTTATTTACTTATTTATTATTAAAAAGTCGTGTGGGTGAACTTTATTTGGAAGAGTGGGTAGGAAAGGCGGCCTGGATTACAGCCCTTTAAGTTCCGGCGATGTGTACAGTGTTCATATTGCGTGTCCAAAAATAATCATTGCTGGAAAAAAAAAATCGTTTAAACGCCCGGCGTATCGAAAATCAGGATTATCATAGAAATCAGCGAAAGAAAATTATATATAATATGTAGTCGAAAACGTCTAGAACATGACCGAATGTGTGTCAGAAAACGCGACCACGACGACGACGGTCCCCGAGTCCCTCCTGACATCCGCACGTCCGGGAAACGGCCACTCAGAAAACAATCTGATATGCTGTAGACTGCACGCTATGATTTATGATGACGGTGGTGTTGCGTGCTTAGATTATACATTTTTGTTTTTTTTTTTTAATCGCCAACTTGACCGTACAGAAATATTGTTTTTTTTGTAAGCGACGAAAAAATGTCAGTTTACGATTTCAATCAATTTTCAAAAACGTTTAGTTTTAGAAAATAGAAAGTCCATTACGGGATTCAATCACTTGCCTAATAATAATACACAAATACAACCGAAATTCGTCCAATACGTAACCAGAGTTTTTAAATACGTGACTCCGATACAAAAACGATTCGACAAAAATATTGTTCACTCTTCGCGGGTTGATTATTGAGGTTCATCGGGTACGATTGAACAACATAATGTACGAAACATGTATCGCCCATCGTAAATATCAACATTGTTTTCCGCTAATATTAAGCATACAATTAGCATGAATGGGAGAGAGCTGGGAACAAGGTTTTAGACCCCCCCACTGTTTTTTGTTGATAT